AAAAAAACTATTTTTTGCTTTTCAATGTATGAGGAGTTGACTGTGCGCTGAACTTTCAAAACTTAGATACTTACCACACTTGCAGGATTTGCACAAATCTGGATCGCATTCCCACCTAGCAAAATAGCATTGACATTGCTTGGTACGGCAGTTACCTGTAGTGCTAAGGCTTTAGACCATCATAACAGGCATAATTGCAAAGACCAAGACGAAACACTATACCTGGTGCACAACGACATCCAGGAAACCGCATTCGGCAATCTTGCGCGCATCCGCAGAATTTACTACAGATCCCGCTCCCTGATGAACATACGCAGAGAGGATTGCCATCGCAGTGGCCGCTATGCGAGCATGGAATCATACGCTCCTTGTTCTCAACCTGAAGTGATTACACTACTTCCGAAAAGCAAGCAAGTGAAGCTTTGTAACAAGTTTGATCAAAATGGGTTCTAGACATATTCTGAAGGTTGCATCTCAGGCAGAAACAGCAATGCATCATGCTCAAGATAAACACTCAAATAAATGCTTTTTCCTCGCTTTATCTCGGGCATGATCTATGCTGTAAGCAGCCTGCACTACAGCCGCGCGCGTCTGCGATGCCTTTGAGTCGTGAACGAGTTGGAACAAGCAGAAGAACGGAATGTAATGAATCACGAGTCAAAAAAAATTTTCTTGAGTTCATCTGATAGTCAACCATTATAGCCTAGTGACTTACCTGTCCTTTACCGTCAGCCCAGGTAAAGGATCGGAAGGATCGATGTTTGTCCTTGATAGATCTGAAAAATGACAGTATATCTCATTTAGGATGAGCAGGATACAACTCACACTTTCTTCTGTTCCGGAGTAAGACTAGGATTAGCTTGAGCCAACTGAGAAGCAAGCTGATAGATCTAAAAAACAATTTATGGTAATAGTCCTAAAAAACATGCTTCCTTACCTCTCTACAAGTTTTTGGCTCCGCTCCGATATCTTCACATATCATTTTCATCTCTGCTGTTATTATACAAATTGACGTCTTCTCTCCAGCTAGCAAGGATACAAGGATATTCATCAAAGTCGGATTTGAGAATGGAGCGACTTTTCCATTTCGAGCACTTGGAGGAGTCTGCGGTATACCATTTGTCTGACTTTTGCGATTTCTTGGAGATGAAGGGACTGGTGAAGCACCTCCTTTACCGTTAGCGGTAGTTGCCTAAGAAAATTAGATGCTGACTAGAGGCCAATGAATAACGGCAGGTAATCATTTCCAGATTCACTGCTACCAACCTGGTGTTCTGCAGTATCCAACAAGTGACAGTTGGGTCCACATGGTGTAGGTCTAGGAGCTCTTTCTCCTTGACGACGCTTAAAGGGCTTCACCTCTTCATCGTAAGGGCCTAAAACATTTTATTAAGAAAAAACTTGCGATTTAAGCAAAAGAAACTACCATGGAGCACACAATCGTATTGATAGCATCTTTCACAGCAAAGTACATTCACTGAGTGGAAATTCTGGTCGCTCCGTGATTTAAGCTCCTGCGTACTTTTAGATGGAGTTCTACCTGGCGCAAACCTTTCCTCTAAGTCTCCGCGCCTAGAATGCATTGAATTTCACTTACTCTGAATTAAACACAAGTTCTGTACTCACGCCGTAACAAGCTGGCGATGGGAAAGTTTGTTCGGGAATAGTTTGAAGATGGCGTAGTATATATGGTCCATAATTTCTGAAATTCCAAAATGAGGGACAGATATGTTTCAGATGCCGAAGATCACTCAAGAAGCACCAACTTTCCGAGTTCGGACGATCCTCCCAATCATATTTCAATATCTCCAACATTTGGAACATTATGTAATCATTGATATATTTGTCGCATCCTCGATCAGCACCATGTATTCCCTAGAATAGTAACAACATAGATATAAGTAATTATTAGGAGACATCCATGTTTTATTATCTAACGTTAACAAAAAACAACACGAGTGACCGCGAACTGAACATATCTGAAGTTCCCAAAAAGTTTGACATATCAAGTTTATACCCTGAGGGATGGCTGTGTCCACCTTTGAGGTATATAAGCTAATCGCTGTGGCTGATCTCGAATTTTGCTTTGGAACAATCAGATGCCTGGTACCCTGTTTCTGTTTAGTGTGCTTAGAACTGACCGGAATTTCCGCTGGACTCCCACGGTCTTGCGGAAAGTGCTGCCGAAATTCTGTTCACAATCAGAACGGGGTCAAATTACTGCTGAAGTTCCCATTTTCGACGCTTGTGGTAGTAAACAAAATTCTGTGGTACAGTTGCAAATACTTTTCTGTGGAAACCCGCGGGTTGTCTGAGTACGTACACCAAAGGGCTCGGATTGTTAGGAGCCTTCCACATCTTCACCTGAGCTAATGTTATGTGACCCACTATTCTTCCCTCTAGTCATGTCTCCTATTACAACAGAGAACTTTGTTTGCTTAACTTTCCTAGTTAGACTCAAAGCAGTCTGTTGCTAAGCAAAATACATCAAATCTATTTCTAACACTTGAAATTTTCGTTCTCGTTTCACAGAATGTGCATAGCATGCATTTAAAACTAGTGATAATCACCTCATCATACAATTTTCGTAGTTCAGCGCAAAATTGCTTGTCATCATGATCTTCGCTGACAAAAGGAATGTGAGAAAGTCTGTGTTCTTCATCCGCCTAGAAAAATCTCATCAGATGCGTTAATCTAATCTTAGTCGTACTCACCCTAATATTACATTCAGTATGGACCCAATACGCAGTCCTCGGTCGTAACTCAAGAGCTGGCAGGAAGCGAACTCCACATTTCTGTGCATTTGCTAGACGACAGTCGGTAGTCTGCAATTTTAGAGTTTTTATTCTCAAAAATAAGCGGGGAACAAATAATTAGAATAAACTCCACCCAGGAAACCTTAAAATGCGTGATGAATTCGCTCAAGTCATCAGGTTCAAGGTTAAGTGGGACTGGGGTAGAGTCATCATAGGTGTGGTATCGACGTAGCGGCAGCTGGCTGATATTTTTTGCGAAGGCTGGCTGAAAATCAAACAATTGAGAAAAGTTGTAAACAATTGGAAAGTCAAGAGATTCCTAGAAAAACCTAGAAAATCTTGAAAGTACAGACTTGAACTGAGTCTGCTTCATTCAACTCGAGCTTTCGCTTAATTCCAAGAATTTTTTACCTTTCAAAGTCGTAAAACAGAAGAAAAAGCTTACCGCTTCTTCTTTGATTATTCTGTCGTCATACTCTTTGATCACCTTATTATAGACTTCCATGACTCTTCTACCACATTTCTTCAAAAATCCTTCATCCAGCAAGCGCTCATCCTGGAAATTAAAAAAA